TGAGCTGACATCTTTTCTTTCTTTGAGGATACGGCACTCATTTCCAAGGACTTTATTTGCCTATGTCCACTGTCCTACTATGGGCCTTCAAGTTGACCACTGCATGATACACTCTGAGGCTGTGTCTATCAATCCCAGGAATCGGCCTTATGGACCACATACTATCTGGATTGCATTCAGTGCTTCACTCACCGCCACTTTGACATATGTATCCGCATGTGGATTGTCTCTACCCACATGGGTATCAAGTCTATCACCTGTTTGTGACCTTTCCCTGATTTGGTCTGTGTTTCCATGACAGTAGATGCTACACCAGCTCATTTTTATGATCGTTGTTGTGTTTGTCTGATGATAGTTGTATCCCCACCATGGTGGTGCACCCCGATGTGTTTTGCTGCATAAGCAAAAGACCTTTTGAGTCATTGCTTCTGCAGCATATTACTATTTATGGCTCAGCCATGATGTCTCTCTATTTTTATTTTTTGGTTTTAGGTCATTTATGTACTGTCTAATATTGAGGTAATGGCTGCCTTGCAGTCTTAACTCAGTTGTCTCTATTGCAATTTTTTTCTGTGGTTGAACTGGATGGACTTTTGTCTTTTTTCAACCAGACTAACTACAGTGGGGATCGAAAGTTTGGGCACCCCAGCTAAAAATTTGTATTAATGTGCATAAAGGAGCCAAGGAAAGATGGAAAAATCTCCAAAAGGCATCAAATTACAGATTAGACATTCTTATAATATGTCAACAAAAGTTAGATTTTATTTCCATCATTTACACTTTCAAAATAACAGAAAACAAAAAAATGGCGTCTGCAAAAGTTTGGGCACCCTGCAGAATTTATAGCATGCACTGCCCCCCTTTGCAAAGCTGAGACCTGCCAGTGTCATGGATTGTTCTCAATCATCATCTGGGAAGACCAGGTGATGTCAATCTCAAAGATTTTAAATGCCCAGACTCATCTGACCTTGCCCCAACAATCAGCACCACGGGTTCTTCTAAGCAGTTCTCTAGAAAACTGAAACTGAAAATAGTTGACGCTAACAAAGCTGAAGAAGGCTATAAGAAGATAGCAAAGCGTTTTCAGATGTCAATATCCTCTGTTCGGAATGTAATTAAGAAATGGCAGTCATCAGGAACAGTGGAAGTTAAAGCAAGATCTGGAAGACCAAGAAAAATATCAGACAGAACAGCTCGCAGGATTGTGAGAAAAACAATTCAAAACCCACGTTTGACTGCACGATCCCTCCAGAAAGATCTGGCAGACACTGGAGTTGTGGTACACTATTCCACTATAAAGAGATACTTGTACAAATACGGTCTTCATGGAAGAGTCATCGGAAGAAAACCTCTTCTACGTCCTCACCACAAAAATCATCGTTTGAACTTTTCAAATGAACATATAGACAAGCCTGATGCATTTTGGAAACAAGTTCTGTGGACCGATGAGGTTAAAATTGAACTTTTTGGCCGGAATGAGCAAAGGTACGTTTGGAGAAGAAGGGGCACAGAATTTAATGAAAAGAACCTCTGTCCAACTGTTAAGCATGGGGCTGGATCAATCATGCTTTGGGGTTGTGTTGCAGCCAGTGGCACAGGGAACATCTCACGAGTAGAAGGAAAAATGGATTCAATAAAATTTCAGCAAATTTTGGATGGTAACTTGATGCCATCTGTGAAAAAGCTGAAGTTAAAGAGAGGATGGTTTCTACAAATGGATAATGATCTAAAACACACCTCGAAATCCACGGGGGATTACATCAAGAGGCGTAAACTGAAGGTTTTGCCATGGCCTTCACAATCTCCTGACCTCAACATAATTGAAAATCTATGGATAGACCTTAAAAGAGCAGTGCGTGACAGACAGCCCAGAAATCTCAAAGAACTGGAAGACTTTTGTAAGGAAGAATGGGCAAAGATACCTCAAACAAGAATTGAAAGACTCTTGGCTGGCTACAAAAAGCGTTTACAAGCTGTGATACTTGCCAAAGGGGGCAGTACAAGATATTAACTCTGCAGGGGGCCCAAACTTTTGCAGACGCCATTTTTTTTGTTTTCTGTTATTTTGAAAGTGTAAATGATGGAAATAAAATCTAACTTTTGTTGACATATTATAAGAATGTCTAATCTGTAATTTGATGCCTTTTGGAGATTCTTCCATCTTTCCTTGGCTTCTTTATGCACATTAATGCACATTTTTAGCTGGGGTGCCCAAACTTTCCATCCCCACTGTATGTAACAAAAGCGTATTTTGATTACATTTTTTTTGAGTATCTCATTGTCCTGCATGTAACCACCTTTCTCTTGTGAATTCTCTGTTCACATTGTTTTTTTTTTTTTTGTTTTTTTTGCAGGCTTTTTTGGTTTTTGGGCAATACTTTATATTTCTAGCGATACCCATTACTTTTGATACCTCCATCTATGTGGTTATTATAGATGTGTCTGGATGGTGACTGTATCATTGTGTGTGTCAGGTTCCTATAAGGTGTCAGGGTGTCACTGTCTATTTCTCCATGGAGGAGTGGGAGTATTTAGAAGGACACAAGGATCTCTACAAGGACGTCATGATGGACAATCAGCCGCCCCTCACATCACCGGGTAAGAGGAGACTTTATTGTAAAGGAGAGAGCAGTACGGAGGATCCACCTAGATCCCCCATCATCTGAAAACACATAGAAACAATGGATTCAGTCAGTGTGTGTGTTTCCTACAGATGGATCCAGTCATGGGAACCCACCAGAGAGATGTCCCCGTCCTCTGTATTCCCAGGATTCCACACAGGAAGGTCACACCATCCCTCACCATCATCAGGTAGATGGATCCAGTCATGGGAACCCACCAGAGAGATGTCCCCGTCCTCTGTATTCCCGGGATTCCACACAGGAAGGTCACACCATCCCTCACCATCATCAGGTAGATGAGGAACAATCACTGATAGTATCATTAGGATCTGTACATTATCTGCATTGTTACCATTGATGTCATTTTATTATATATTCAGAGTGGAAACCTGAGGGATCCTAAAGTTGAGGTTAAAGAAGAGATAAAAGAGGAGGAGGATGAGGATGGGGTGATGGAGGAGTCAGAGTCTCTAAAAGTACACAAAGATCTGTACCAGGACACCATGGTGGAGTCATCCAGCTACAGGAACCCACCAGAGAGATGTCCCCGTCCTCTGTATTCCCAGGATTCCACACAGGAAGATCACACCATCCCTCAACATTACAAGGTTGGTGGGACAGAGTATCTAGAGCATGGACTCATAGAGATGATATGTGGATTTTGTTTATGTGATGTCACAAGATTACTTCTTTTTTTTTTTTTATAATTTTTTGGTTTAGGGTGAAGATCTGATAGATATAAAAGTTGAGTTTAAAGCAGAAGAAGAAGAAGAGGCGTATGTGAGGGATGATCAGCAGTCTATGGAGGAGGATGGAATAACGGGGACATTTATAGAGGAGGACACTCCTACAGAGATCAGCACAGGTGGGTCATGAACACTAAATCCATTCCTCCACCCATACTGCTCACTGATTGGTCCAGAGTAGGGCGGGGACTGGGTGATATCAGCCTGTAATCCCCTGGTCACTTTCCTGAGCTGTGTTCCCCGTCCTGTATTCCTGGATTTCTCTCGGATAATCTTCCTTCTCTGTGCTGCAGACACAGTTTATGTATCTAGACTGGATTTATGGAGATTCTGGGGTTCAGCTGGCAGCAAAATGTTGATTTTCACCATAAGTGTTACTAGACCTAGGCACCTGGGGCATGTGTCTTGGGTCTTCTGCTCCATGTCGGGGTCTAGTAAGATCTCTGATAGAACAGTTCTCCCAGGGTTACTCTGATATCTGCTGGCTGTGTTGGGTGGAGGGATATGTCTGTATAGTCTCAGACCAAAGTCACTGAGTGCAGTCTCAGGAGATGTGAGGCAGCGGTGTGGGATCTCTGCAACTTGTCTACAGTTAAACAACATTTAAGCTTCCACTGATTTCTGGACTCCTATGAGTCCTGTCCCCTAACTACATACTTCTGATACTATATAGTCCTATCTGCCGTATATTTATACAATATGTTGTATATTACATACTCCTGACCCCTGCACTATATACTCTATGTTGTACATTACATACTCCTGACCCCTGCACTATATATTCTATGTTGTACATTACATAGCCCTGACCCCTGCACTATATATTCTATGTTGTACATTACATACTCCTGACCCCTGCACTATATATTCTATGTTGTACATTACATACTCCTGACCCCTGCACTATATACTCTATGTTGTACATTACATACTCCTGACCCCTGCACTATATATTCTATGTTGTACATTACATACTCCCGACTTCTGCTCTCCCCCTCCCCCCACTGCTATATATACACATAATATGGATTCTCTTTTTGTTACACCCATTTCCTCCCTGCTGGACATTTTATATCGGATGATGTGATTGGAGCACAGACTTTTACATGGTGATAATAATGTGATAACATCCTCCAACTTTGGACCCTTAAACAGAAAGTGATAATGAGGGAGGAGTCAATACCCCAATGATGGTGGTCTTCAGGATCAGTCCAGTCTTCATCTTGGTTGTTCTCTCCCTCCATCCTCACTCTCTGACCTCTGGTGGGGCTCAGCCACGCTGTTCTTCATGACTAAATCATGGACTAAATAAGGAAGTGCAGTACTTCTTGTGTTGGGAAGATGGTGATGAGTGATAGAGGGGGTGGGGACCCTCGTCCTATAATCCCCTCATCACTGTCCCTCCTATAAAAGACAGTTCTGGTTGTTTCCTCACTCTCTGACTAAGGTCCATGAATAAAGAAATGACCTGGTAGGAGATCAGAGGAGCCATTTCCTAGTTCCCTTGAGGGTGGAATTGTAAGCTCCTCAGAGACCAAGCTGCCTGATGTGGGCGGAGTCCTGGTTTGGGGGAACCAATCAGCTCCTGTCTAGTAATCCTCTTTGTCTTTGTATTTTAGTCCATGGCCGGGAGATGAGGAAAACCTCCGAGGATTGTCTCACTTTGTCTCCAGACTGGAAAGTAGAAGATGAGGACATCACACAGTATAGTCCAGGAGAAAACCCGGCTCCCTCCAATGTCCATCCGGCACCACCCAGTGTAGATGGACCATCGGATTCCTCGTATCCTGAGGAACCTCAGACTGTGCGGGACCGGGCCTCCCTTCCAACAGGGAAGAGCTTCTCCTGCATCGAGTGCGGGAAGGGTTTTTCACAAAAGTCCAATCTTTACAGACATCAGAGGTCTCACACAGGTGAGAAGCCACATTCCTGCCCCGAGTGCGGGAAATGCTTTTCAAAGAAGTCCTATCTTTCCGTACATGAGAAATTGCACACAGGGGAGAAGCCATATGCCTGTACTGAGTGCGGGAAATGTTTTTCACAGAAGTCCAATCTTTACAGACATGAGAGTATGCACACAGGTGAGAAGCCACATTCCTGCCCTGAGTGCGGGAAATGTTTTTCAAAGAAGTCCTATCTTTCCATACATCAGAGATGGCACACAGGGGAGAAGCTGTATTCCTGTTCTGAGTGTGGGAAATGTTATGTACAAAAATCAGATCTTGTCAGACATCAAAGATCTCACACAGGGGAGAAGCCGTATTCCTGTCCTGAGTGCGGGAAATGTTTTTCAGGGAAGTCTGATCTTTACAGACATCAGAGACTGCACACAGGGGAGAAGTTATATTCCTGTCCTGAGTGTGGAAAATGTTTTTCACGGAAGTCCAATCTTTCCACACATCGGAGATTGCACACAGGAGACAAGCCATATTCCTGTTCTGAGTGCGGGAAATGTTTTTCACAGAAGTCCATTCTGTATAGACATCAGAGATTGCACATGGGGGTGAAACCACTTTCCTGTCCTAAGTGAGGGAATTGTTCCTCACTGAAGTCCTGTTTCTTGTACATCAGGGGTCCCACACAACCCTGGAGGTGTATTAGTGCCTTGAGTGCGGGAAATGTCTTCTAGATGAATGTTGCTGGACATCCCAGCTCTCATGTGGGGAAGAAGCACACCCTGATATACACCTCAGATATACTCCATGGCTGATCTTTATCATGGAAGAGACCGTTCATAAGGAGATCAGAGGTCACCAAAGACATGGATGAAGTGTGGGACCGGGTTGGACATTGATAGCAGGAGAAGAATAAAAAGTTATTACCTTTTATTGGCTGAGTACATTTTGTGGTGTAGAGATTTCAACATGATGTCTATAATGTAGCATTAAACTATTTTTTTTTTATTGAAATATTTTGGGTTTAATACCTCATAATGGCACTAGATGAAGATGACGACCATAGGAAATCATTGTGTTTAATAAAATAAAATATTGTTCAGAAAAATAAAATATGTTCAGAATTTGTCACAGCTGGACATATGCTGGTTACACTCACTCAACATACATTGTATTGCCAAAAGTATTGGGCCTGCCCTCCAAATCATGTGATTCAGGTGTTCCAATCCCCTCCATGGACACAGGTGCATGCAGACTGCTTCTACAAACATTGGTGAAAGAATGGGTCGCTCTCAGGAGCTCAGTGATTCCAAGCGTGGTCCCGTGATAGGTTGTCACCTGTGCAATAAGTCCATCTGTGACATTTCCTGGCTACTAAATATTCCACGCTCAACTGTTAGTGGGATTATAACAAAGTGGAAGCAACTGGGAACAACAGCAACTCAGCCACCAAGTGGTAGGCCACGTCACATGACAGAGAGGGGTCAGCGCATGCTGAAGTGCACAGTGCGCAGAAGTCACCAACTGTCTGCAGAGTCAATAGCTAAAGACCTCTAAACTTGGTGTGGCCTTCAGATGAGCACAGCAACAGTGTGTGTAGAGAGCTTCATGGAATGGGTTTCCATGGCCGAGCAGCTGCATCCAAGCCTTACATCACCAGTGCAATGCAAAGCATTGGATGCTGTGGTGTAAAGCACGCTGCCACTGGACTCTAGGGCAGTAGAGATGTGTTCTCTGGACTGACCAATCACGCTTCTCTGTCTGGCAATCCGATGGACGTGTCTGGCAGTTGCCAGAAGAACAGTACTTGCCTGACTGCATTGTGCCAAGTGTAAAGTTTGGTGGAGGGGGTTATGGTGTGGGGTTGTTTTTCAGAAAACATTTTGGACAATTTCATGCTCCCAACTTTGTGGGAAGAGTTTGGGGATGGCCCCTTCCTGTTCCAACATGACTGCACACCAGTGCACAAAGCAAGGTCCATAAAGACATGGAGGAGCCAGTTTGGGGTGGAGGAACTTGACTGGCCTGCACAGAGTCCTGACCTCAACTCCATAGAGCACCTTTAGGATGAATTAGAGCGGAGACTGTGAGCCAGGCCTCCTCCCCCGACATCAGTGCCTGACCTGACAAATGTGCTTCTGGAAGAATGGTCCAACCTTCCCATAGACACCCTCCTAAACCTTGTGGACGGCCTTCCCAGAAGAGTTGAAGCTGTTATAGCTGCGAAGGGCGGGGCCAACTCAATATTGAACCCTACGGACTAAGACTGGGAGGCCATTAAAGTTCATGTGCGTGGAAAGGCAGGCCGACCAATACTTTTGGTAACATACAGTGAAGGAAATGCGTATTTGCTCCCCGGCTGATGCTGAATGTTTGCCCACTCACAAAGAAATGATCGGTCTACAAATCGAATGTTCGGTGTAACACTGAGAGACAGAATAGCAACACAAAATTCAGCAGAAATGTGTCTAACAAATGATGACTGATCTGCATGTTCATGAGGGAAATAAGTATTTGATCCCCTTCACAAAACATGACTTAGTACTTGGTGGCAAATCCCTTGTTGGCAATCACAGAGGTCAGACGTTTCCTGTAGTTGGCCCCCAGGTTTGCACACATCTTAGGAGGGATTTTGGCCCACTCCTCTTGGCAAATCCTCTCCAAGTCATTAAGGTTTGGTGGCTGACATTTGGCAACTAGAACTTGCAGCTCCCTCCACGGATTTTCAATCAGATTAAGGGCTGGAGACTGTCTAGGCCACTCCAGGACCTTCTTGAGCCACTCCTTTGTTGCCTTGGCCATGTGTTTTGGGTCACTGTCATGCTGGAACACCCATCCATGACCCATTTTCAATGCCTTGGCTGAGGGAAGAAGGTTCTCACCCAAGATTTGATGGTACATTGCCCCGTCCATCATCCCTTTGATGCAGTGCAGTTGTCCTGTCCCCTAAGCAGAAAGACACCCCCAAAGCAGAATGTTTCCACCACCATGTTTGACAGTTGGGATGGTGTTCTTGGGGTCATAGGCAGCATTCCTCCTCCTCCAAACAGCGAGTTGAGTTGATGCCAAAGAGCTGGATTTTGGTCTCATCTGACCACAACACTTTCATCCAGTCCTCCTCTGCATCATTCAGATGTTCAGTGGCAAACTTCAGACGGGCTGGACATGTGCTTTCTGGAGCAGAGGGACCTTGCGGGCACTGCAGGATTTCAATCCTTGTCGGCGTAGTGTGTTACCAATTGTTTTCTTGGTGACTGTGGTCCCAGCTGCCTGGAGATCATTGACAAGATCCTCACGTGTAGTTCTGGGATGATTCCTCACTGTTGTCATGATCATTGACACTCCACGAGGTGAGATCTTGCATGGTGCACCAGACCTAGGGAGACTGACAGTTGTTTTGTGTTTCTTCCATTTGTGAATGATTGCACCAACTGTTGTCACCTTCTCACCAAGCTGCTTGGCCATAGTTTGGTAGCCCAGTCCAGCCTTGTGTAGGTCTACAATCTTGTCCCTGACATCCTTGGACAGCTCTTTGGTCTTTGCCATGGTGGAGAGTTTGGAATCTGATGGTTTGATGGCTCCTGTGGACAGGTGTCTTTTATACAGTAACAACATGAGATTAGCAGCACTCCCTTTAAGAGACTGCTTCTAATCTCAGCTTGTTACCTGTATGAAAGACACCTGGTAGCCAGAAATCCTGCTGAATGATAGGGGATCAAATACTTATTTCCCTCATGAACATGCAGATCTGTCATCATTTGTTAGACATGCATTTCTGCTGAATGTTTTGTTGCTATTCTGTCTCTCAGTGTTACAATACACCGAACATTTGATTTTTAGACCGATCATTTCTTTGTGAGTGGGCAAACATTCAACATCAGCAGGGGAGCAAATACGCATTTCCTGTTTTCTAATCCCCTCTTCAGTGGTTCTTTAAATTAAATATACAGTGTCATGTGTAATTTTTATTGGATTGCACTAGATCAGCCCTGATGAGGATTCCTGTATGTGGATGCTGCAGCCTCTTTAGTGTGAGATCAAACACCCATGGAAGTGATCATGTAGAAGATAGCTTGTTTATGAGAAGAAATGAATGGGGACTATGCAAGAGGGAACACTGCGGACCCTGATGTAAAGGGGAACACTTCTGCCTGTGATGTAAGGGGGGCTTTGGTGGCCAGAGACCACCTTACATCAGGGTTCTCCTTTACATCACAGTCCACAGTGTCCCTCTTACATCAGAGTTCACCTTTACATCATGGTTCACAGTGTCCCCCTTACATCAGAGTTCCCCTTTACATCACAGTCCGCAGTGTCCCACATACATCAGAGTTCCCCTTTACATCAGGGTCTGCAGTGTCCCCCTTACATCAGAGTTCCCTTTTACATCAGGGCTTGCAGTATCCCCCTTACATCAGAGTTCACCTATACATCACAGTTAGCAGTGTCCCTCTTACATCAGAGTTCCCCTTTACATTACAGTCCACAGTGTCCCATTTACATCAGAGTTCCCCATTACATCAGGGTCCGCAGAGGTCACCCTTACATCAGCGTTCCCCTTTACATTACAGTCTGCAGTTTCCCCATTACATCAGAGTTCAACTTTACATCACAGTCAACAGTGCCCCCTTACATCAGATTTCACCTTTACATCACAGTCCACAGTGTCCCTCTTACATCAGTGTTCCCCTTTACATCACAGTCAGCAGTGTCCCCCCTTACATCAGATTTCACCTTTACATTACAGTCTGCAGTGTCCCACTTACATCAGAGTTCCCCTTTACATCAGGGTCCACAGAGGTCACCCTAACATCAGCATTCCCCTTTACATTATGGTCTGCAGTGTCCTCCTTACATCAGAGTTCCCCTTTACATCACAGTCAACAGTGCCCCCCTTACATCAGATTTCACCTTTACATCACAGTCCACAGTGCCCCCCTTACATCAGAGTTCCCCTTTAGATCACAGTCTACAGTGTCCCCCTTCCATCAGAGTCCCCCTTTTACATCACAGTCAGCAGTGTCCCCCTTACATCAGATTTCACCTTTACATCACAGTCAACAGTGTCCCTCTTAAATCACAGTCCACAGTGTCCCCCTTCCATCAGAGTTACCCTTTACATCACAGTCCGCAGTGTCCCCCTTACATCAGATTTCACCTTTACATCACAGTCAACAGTGTCCCTCTTATATCACAGTCCATAGTGTCCCCCTTCCATCAGAGTTCCCCTTTACATCACAGTCCTCAGTGTCCCCCCTTATATCAGAGCTCCCCTTTACATCAAAGTCCACAGCATTCCCATTTACACATTTAGAAAATATTTATATGTATTTATTTTATCAAGAACAATAAAAGTTGGTTTTAAAAATGGGGGGAGCATGAATAATGGCCCAGAGTGCTGTGGTCAGGAGTATATCATACAGCCCAGGGTATAGAAGGTAGTGGTCGGGAGTATGTCATATACTTCCCAACATAAAGAGTGCAGCGGAAATAGGCTGGACTGGAGCAGCAGGCACAGAAGTAGACTGGACTGGAGCAGCAGGCACAGAAGTAGACTGGACTGGAGCAGCAGGCATGGAAGTAGACTGGACTGGAGCAGCAGGCATGG